GTGTTGTGATTATTATGTTCGTGTTGTGATTATTATTGTTGTGTTGTGAATATTATGTTCGTGTTGTGATTATTATTGTTGTGTTGTGATTATTATGTTCGTGTTGTGATTATTATTATTGTTTTGTGTTGTGATTATTGTTGCTGCTGTATTGTTTATTGTTATTACTGTTGTGTTGTGATTATATATTATTGTTTTGTATTGTGTGATTTTTAGTGATTTGTTTTGTGTTGTGATTATTGTTGTTGACGTTGTGTTGCGCTGTGTTATGTTGGTCTGTGCTGTGATGGTCATTGGTGTTGTCTTGGTACTGTGGGGAGCAACATTGTCTATACCCATACTAAAATGACTCGAGTGGACAGAGTTGCCTATAGCGTAAACGGAGATAATACCTATGTGTACGTGTGTGTGTGTGGGGGAGGTGGTTAGGGGGTAGATGTTATGGTGGTGTGACGGGTTAGGTGTTGTGGGGGAGGGTGGTTGGGGGTAGATGTTATGGTGGTGTGACGGGTTAGGTGTTACGGGGGGTGGTTGGGGGTAGATGTTATGGTGGTGTGACGGGTTGGGTGTTGTGGGGAGGTGGTTAGGGGGTAGATGTTATGGTGGTGTGACGGGTTAGGTGTTGGGGAGGGTGTTTAGGGGTAGATGTTATGGTGGTGTGACGGGTTAGGTGTTACGGGGGTGGTTAGGGGTAGATGTTATGGTGGTGTGACGGGTTAGGGTTGTTACGTGGGGGGTTGTTAGGGGTAGATGTTATGGTGGTGTGACGGGTTAGGTGTTACGGAGGGTTGTTAGGGGGTAGATGTTATGGTGGTGTGACGGGTTAGGTGTTACAGGGGGTGGTTGGGGGTAGATGTTATGGTGGTGACGGGTTAGGTGTTACAGGGGGTGGTTAGGGGTAGATGTTATGGTGGTGTGACGGTTGGGTGTTACGGGGGTGTGGGGGTTGTTAGGGGTAGATGTTATGGTGGTGTGACGGGTTAGGTGTTACGGGGGGTTGTTAGGGGTAGATGTTATGGTGGTGTGACGGGTTAGGTGTTACGGGGGTGTGGTTGGGGGGTAGATGTTATGGTGGTGTGACGGGTTAGGTGTTACAGGGGTGGTTAGGGGTAGATGTTATGGTGGTGTGACGGGTTAGGTGTTACGGGGGTGTGGGGGGTTGTTAGGGGTAGATGTTATGGTGGTGTGACGGGTTAGGTGTTACAGGGGGTTGTTAGGGGTAGATGTTATGGTGGTGTGACGGGTTAGGTGTTACAGGGGTTGGTTAGGGGTAGATGTTATGGTGGTGTGACGGGTTAGGTGTTACGGGGTGGTTAGGGGGTAGATGTTATGGTGGTGTGACGGGTTAGGTGTTACAGGGGGTGGGGGTGGTTAGGGGGTAGATGTTATGGTGGTGTTACGGGGGGGTAACGAATAAATTTTTACATCATCGTCATTGTTATTATCATCATCATGAGAGAGAGAGATTATTATTTTTGTGGCATTAAGAGAGAGAGATAAGTATTTATGTGGCATTGAAATTCCCGAGAGAGAGAGGCCCGTTAAAATACCCCAGATTTCTTAATTGACTCTCCTCTTCCTCCTCCTCCTGTCTTTCTGATTCTCCCTGTGTTTTATCTTCTTTCTCTTGTTGTTTCATCTCTCTCTCTCTCTGCTTCTTCCACGTCCGCTTCTTGTGTTTCCTCTTATCCTTTTTTATTAAGTTTTCTTTCATCGCTCTTCCTCATTTTCCATTTTTTTTATTATTATCAACTTCCTATAATTCCTCACCTCTCTGCTACTTCCGGTATTTTCTTCTTCCCTTTTTTTGTGTTCCACTTCCTCCTCTCTTCTACTGTTCACCGCTATCACCCCCTTGTCACTTCCTGTTTCCTATTCTCTTTCCTCTATTTTTTTTCAGTGATTGTTTTTCATCGTGTATTTTTGCTTCTTTCGTTGTCATCTCCGCCCCCCCCCTTCTTATTTCTCTTCTTCTTCTTCTTCTTCTTCTTCTTCTTCTTCTTCTTCTTCTTCTTCTTCTTCTTCTTCTTCTTCTTCTTCTTTATTTTATTGAGATGTTGGGTAATAAAGTTGAATATTATTTTCACTTTACATCCAGATTTGAGGTCAATGAACGCTAGCTGACGGTAGTTTGAGGTCAGTGAACGCTAGCTGGTGGTAGTTTGAGGTCAATGAACGCTAGCTGGTGGTAGTTTGAGGTCAATGAACGCTAAACTGGTGGTAGTTTGAGGTCAGTGAACGCTAGCTGGTGGTAGTTTGAGGTCAATGAACGCTAAACTGGTATTGAGATCAGTGAATGCTAGCTGGTGGTAGTTTGAGGTCAGTGAACGCTAGCTGGTGGTAGTTTGAGGTCAGTGAACGCGGGTGACCTTACTTGTTGACACTGGTGATTTCTGTCCACTGTTGGTGATATCTTTAGGCCTGACCCATAAGCTGGAAGTTAGTTGGTTGATATTTAAGTAATGTTGATATTGTTAACTTAGAAGCTAAAAGTGGACGTTTTTTTTTTAAAGTCTTCTTGATATATTGGACAAAAAAGCTAAAATAATGTGTGAACCAAAAGAATGAAAAAGACAGAATTTAGTATTGATTTTTTTGTAACAAATTGATCCAAAATACTACTACTGTTTATTTGGTTGAATTTATAACTTTTGTTTATTTTAGTTATATTTTTATGAATACACTTTTTTTCTTTTTCTTGAACTAGGATAATGTTCCCTGGATTAGTGTTTTGGCATTTTCGGTATCCTTAACAACCTATTCTTATTCAGATATTTCCTGGTATAAGTGATTTTTTTACGTGGTGTTTTGGATTTTTTACATGTTTTGTCTGAATATATAATTATTTTTATATGTTAGTCGGACAATTGATGATGAAAGGCAGCGTGTAATCATCTTATGTATATAAAACCAGACAGTGTGTGTGTGTGTGTGTGTGTGTGTGTGTGTGTGTGTGTGTGTGTGTGTGTGTGTGTGTAAAACTTGACTGACCCAAGAAACACACACAATATAGCTGGGTTGTGACATGGTTTTCCCCGGCGCGCTAACCATGATCGCCAAATTAGATTAACTAACTGTCTTGGCTAAAACCTTGGCTGGCGAACATTCTCAGAGGCGCTTTATTTTAAACTAGAAATTGATTGTTTTCTTTTCAACCCGGTTTCATTATCCAGTTGTGTTGACTTTATTAAACCCCAGAAACTGGTCAAGAGGAACGTGTGGAAGTGTGTTTTAGTGTGTCAAGAAACGGTCTGAGCGAGGAGAGGGTATTGGCCTACTCTACTTGAATACTGGATGATTACTGTAAGCACATGACAACGTTGAGTGAAATATTTATCTTGTAACAACGTGGTAATAATGATAATGATAATAATTAACGGTTTATTGAAAGAACATGACAACCAAATGGCTAAAAATATACAGTTACAAATTATGGGAATTAGTCACTTGATTCACAAATAATTAAATATATAAGTAACAAGTGATACAAATATGATACAAAATATCAAGGTGGGGCGAAGGTCATAACAATGAATTTCAACATAGTAACAGTGCAAAGGATTACCCGTTACTTAACTAGGCGTTGTTAATAATTTTTACAGTGGTTGGGATTGGTGTGTGTGTGTGTATGTTTATTTGTGTGTGAGTTGGTTCAGTGACCGTGGTGGTGGTGGTGGTTTGTGGTCGTGGAGGTATTCTCGGGTCGGGGCGGCGTATGTGAGTGGTGTATGCCGTCTTCACTTGAACCAGGAATTTTGTTGTGTGTGTGTGTGTGTGTGTGTGTGTGTGTGTGTGTGTGTGTGTTGTGTACTGGTAGTTGGGTCGAGCTATCATTTCAGTGCTCTCTCTCTCGTATAGTGACTTTCCGAGGTTTAGTTAGTATTGTTCACCTTTACCTCGAAGTGATATTTAAGGACTAAACTTACGCCAGACGAACGTTAACCCACCTGTCGCTTGCTGTGGCGCTTCGTTATTAGCGTATGTGTATAAGAGTATATATACGAATGTCTAACGAGTAAGTTATATGATGGAGTGGTGACTGAACTTCTTGAGTACGGTGACAATTCCAATGGGCCGACATCGCACTCAAAGGATCATTCATCGAACTCTTGCCCAAGAGGTTATGTCATTGTAATCAAGGGGTTGGAGTCATCGTACTCAATCAACGTATTCAAGAGGTTCAGTCATCGTATTCCAGGGTTTAGTCATAGTACTCAAGGGCTGTCAACTTATTAGAGGTTAACCCATTTTATCCAAGGGTTCAGTCATCGTACTTGAGAATTTGTCATCATATTCAAGGGATTAGTCATTGTACTCAAGGGTTCGGTTGTCATGCTTAGTTGTCATCGTACTCAAGGGGTTCAGTTATCGTATTCAAGGGATTATCATCCTACTCGAGGGATTCAGTCATCGTACATAAGAGACACTCATCGTACTCAGGGGTTCAGTTATCGTACTCAAGGGAATTTGTCATCATACTGAAGGGGTTAGTCGTCATACTCCAGGGGTTCAGTAAGCATACTCAAGGGTTGATTCATCTTATAGGGTTTACTCGTCGTACTCAAAGGCTCAGTCATCGTACTCAATTTATTAAGTATCCAAGGTTATTATATACTATTAATGGCTCATAATTTTGAAGAATGTACACAGTAATAATGTATTAACTAGCATCACTATCTACTCTAATTAATACGTATAAGTTAATACCATAACCCCGATTTAATTCCTTCATTACTTACCAACACTCGAATCATGTATTTATCTAACAGTGGAAAATATATTGACTTTTGGTGCGAATATTTATCATCGTCTTTCGTAAATGAACAAATTATATCTTAGCAGTAAACCTTAAGTGAATATTAATATCATGGAAAGTTTGGTATTAACATCGGTCATCGTACCGACCTGAACATTGAGAAAATTATTACATTTAAGCTACGCGTGAATGTTGAGGACAGCATTCGAGCGCTGTGTTTATATTGGTATATTTGTCAACTTACCCAAACAGTGTGAGGCAACGGGTCATGGTGGTTGTGGTGCCTTCAACAGGTAACCCGGACAGACACGCGTGGATTCTTGGGTCTTCCTCTCCTCTCACCACCCACTGGTATTTTTATATGTCCTTTATTCTTTCTTTTATGTCTCTATTGTCTTTTATTTTATTTCCTTAGTAACACCATCTCTTCACATCTTATCGGTTTAGTCCTGGGAAGCTCGCGTTGAGGAGTTTGAAAACATCTCTTTCCTCAAGACGGGCTCACTAGTTTGCTTGACCACTTGTTGAGGGTGTGTGTGTGTGTTGGTGAGTTGTTAATGACTGAAGAAATAACACACTATTGTAGTTGTGGTTAGTTATGGTGGTAGTGTCTTAGATGGTAATGGTGCTTCTTGTTGTTGTGGTAAAGACGGTAAGTGATTGTAACGATGACTTGGTTTTGGAAGACACTTCCCCGGTGGTTGTAATGTTTGTTATTGCTGTGGTGGTGGCAGTAAGGCGCGTGCGTGTAGGAGCGTGTGGCGGGTAGCGCAGTGGAACACTGACTGAGTCGCTCTGAACCTGTCTGGCTGTCTGCTGCCTCGCTGGCTAGCCTGGAGGTGGTTCCCTGTCTGCCTGCCTTCTCTCTCCTCTCTCTCTTTTCACATTCTTTTATTCGTTGACTGAAAAGTTATCTCTTTCATTTTTTATTCATTAACTGAGCTCCATCTCTCTTTCTCTGTGCGCGTGCCAATAAAATATTACAAATATATATATATATATATATATATATATATATATATATATATATATATATATATTTAGATCCACAATGAAAACGTTGTTTCCTTTTCCTTATTTATCAAGATATATATATATATATATATATATATATATATATATATATATATATATATATATATATATATATATATATATATATATATATATATATATAATTTATACTATCTATACATTTTTGATATACGTACACTATTTGTTAGTATACCTATACAGTATATACATTGTTAGTATATCTATACTCTGTATACATTGTTAGTATATCTATACTCTGTATACGTTGTTAGTATATCTATACTCTGTATACATTCATAGTATACCTATACTATATATACATTGTTAGTATACCTATACTGTCTGTATACTGTACAATCGGTAAATAAAAATCTCTTTACAATTCTTGTGCGAAACAAAATAACACCACGGACGAAGGTGTTTGATAAAGGCCCTTGAGGCATACTGTTATTTACCAGTCATTATATTTCGAATGAAATAACTAAATTAGTCCTTCCATAATAGGTGGGAATTGTCTCACAATCACGCCTACTGACCCTCCAAGTTCATCTGATCGCTCCTGAAAGATACTTTTCTTTTACCGAGTGTATATACTAAGCATGTGCATGAACTTGTGAAGGTTTTACTGAATTTTTATAATAATCCAACTCACACAGTACCAACATCAACACACCAAATCACCCATTAATAGGTCAAATTAACTTTCCCCCGTAAGTTGTGCTTGCCAGCCTAATTCTCTCGGGAGTTGCGGTGATGAGTATAAAATAATCAACAAATACCAAGAGTAACACCAATAGCCCCAAGTTATTATTGTGAGTCCAGGAAGTTCAAGAAAGTTTAAAAGAGCTAGCATAAGGGACTATGTTATCTTAGTCAACAATCTGTGTATATTGAGGCTGTCTCTCGGCTTGTCTATGTTTATTCCTGAGCTTCAAATATTAAAGTCTCTATGCATGTATAGCTAAAGTGGGTCTATTATATTATACACCAGTGGTTGTTGAAGTCTACGGGAGGCGTTATTACTTTTGAAGGCGCGGTTGTTGCTCGTTCTGAGGTGTGCACAGTTGTGTTTGTGGTTCGTACATGCGCTATGGTTATGATGACTACAACACACACACACACACACGGTGGTGGGGTTGGTAATAGGTTGTTACTGTGTCACTGTACTAGGTCAGTGGTAAGCATTCTCCCCACGTTCCTCCCTCCTCCCTCTCCTCTCCCTTCACCCTTGTGTATTTTGTATATTTACATATGTATTTGGTATATATATTGGTTGATTTGTGTATGGATGTATGTATGTATGTATGGTGTGTATATATGTATGTTTGTATGTACGTGTTGATTTATATTTATTTTCTTCTATTCCAGGTATGTTTACAGTGTGACTGACGTGTGTCTTGGTGAGTATTGTTACTACTGTATGTGTTGAGTACTGGACTGGTGTTACTATGTGTTGAGTACTGTACAGTGTTCTAGGTTGACTGCTGTACTGTGTTGTCGGTTGAGTACTGTACTGTGTTGTAGGTTGAGTACTGTACTGTGTTGTAGGTTGAGTACTGTACTGTGTTGTAGGTTGAGTACTGTACTGTGTTGTAGGTTGAGTGCTGTACTGTGTTGTAGGTTGAGTACTGTACTGTGTTGTAGGTTGAGTACTGTACTGGCATTAATGTACCTTAAATATTGTACTAGTGTTAATTTTTCCTGAGTATTGTACTAATGTGCTACAGTGATATTGGTTGAGCACTGTACTAAGGTAGGAGGGGATGGAAAAGGAGGGAGGTATACAGGTTAGAGAGAGCTCATCTCCACTCACCTCTCCTTACCACCACTTTCTCCCATTACTCAGTGAGCATGAGTCTCTTGCGGCACCCACAGTGAAAGAGATATATTATCAGAGCTGCATGTGTTCACTGTATAGGTACAACACCGGGGAGGGAGGGGTGGGCTAAGGGGGCTGAGGCATGGTAGTTTTGCTGTTGTGCTATAAGTGAGTCAACCAGTCTGTATGTTGGCCGACTGTGACCACAAGTTCCCCGGTGACCGGAATGTGGCCAGACCCACAGAGGATGTGTGAGGTGATGAGGAAGAGGGCGCCATCGTTAACTCGATTCCTCCAAATTCATTAATATTGATGAAAAATTTCTCGTTGAGTTTGTGGAAGTTTCTTGTGTGCACACCACTCTACACTGTGCTAGGCTGGCGGGCCGCACTACCTGGTGGGCCGCACTGTCCGGTGGACCACACTACCTGGTGGACCCACTACGGTGACCACGCATCGGGGCCACACCTGGTGACCACGCCGGTGGACCACCTGGTGGACCACACTATCTGGTGGACCACACTACCTGGTGGACCACACCTCTGGTGGACCACGCTATCTGGTGGGCCCACTGCCTGGTGGACCACGCTATCTGGTGGACCACACTACCTGGTGGACCACTATCTGGTGGACCACACTACCTGGTGGACCACACTATCTGGTGGACCACACTATCTGGTGGGCCCCACTACCTGGTTGATCACACCTGGTTAGCCACAACACCTGGTGAGCCACAAGTGAGCCACACCTCTTGGACACACCACAGGGGGTTGTGGGGTGCTGGGCCTCACGCTGATCATTTTACTCAGGTGTTGAGAAGTCACTCAGGCGTTACCACCCAGGTCACTCAACCTTTTTTTGTGTAACTGACCTGACACCGAGATAACTGACTGTGTTGACCCTCACACACACACACACACACAGTGAAAGTAGTCACAACCCATTACGTATGGTGGGAGTATGGTACTCCACCTATCAATTACCTGTCCAATCAGACATTTAAACACCTGTCACCTGTCCAATCAGCCTTTCGGTCATATGTCCACTGCGCCACCAGACAAACTATTACTCCACTATTGTGGTCACTTCGGTGGACAACCTGTAAACGCATCTTAATCCCTTGTGAATGATGACTCAATCCCTTGTTTATGATGACTCAATCCCTTGTGTATGGTGACTTAACTCCTTGTGTATGATGACTTTATTATCAGAGTACAATGACAACTTTCTGAAGATTGGAATAAAAACAACGACGAGGAAAATATGGGGCAAAATTCAGCATGAGTAACATAATTCCTGTGTTTACATATGAACGTATCCCTCACCCCCCCTACTCCTGCCCTCCTCCACCCCTTACTAGACCCCACTACAAAATAAATATGTATAAATTCTTCACTTTCCCGACAACCAAACGACGCCCAAATGTTTAACAGGAAGTATACTGAACGCCCAGATGAACTTAGAGTTTTGGTGTACACGACTGTCTGTTTTGCCTTTAAGGTGGAGTCGTTTTTCTGTGTTGACGTATTGCAGGTCTCTCTCTCTCTCTCTCTCTCTCTCTCTCTCTCTCTCTCTCCAATCACTTACTAGTTTATTCTAAAGCCATTTCTCACAGGGGCGGGGCGACCAACACAGCCCTAGTGTGGGTGTACACTGTCTCTTCCTGGTATCTCCTGTCTCTGTGTGGTTAAGTTAGGTTAGGTGGGTGCCTCCGCTCTCCCCTTCTTAGGTTATAGGTTAGGTTATATAAAGCTAGGTAGGCTAGGTTAAGATAGGCTACGTTAGATTAGGCTAGGTTAGATTAGGCTAGGTTAGGTAAGGCTTGGTTATATAAGGCTAGGATAGGTTAGGTTAAGGACAAGATGGATCACGTGAAGATTAGCCATCGCTTATATCACCTTCCGATTAATCACCCTAACGCTATCTAGCGGTGAGGATGGCGAACTGTGTAAGCCTCCTCACCCTCGTTGTCTCCCTCCGTCCTCCTGGTCTCCTCACCCTCCTGGCCTCCTACCTCCTGGTCTCCTAGGGGTTGAGGGAGGGAGAGGTCGACAGGGGGGTGACCTCTCATTATTAATGGTGTCAGCAGTGATTTCGACTCGTCATTGTACAACCATTTATCATGACTGTACTCTCTATGTCGCCTGATACAACCATTTACGATCAGGGGACGATGATATGGAGGCGGAGGAAGAGAGGGAGAGAAGGGAAAAGGAAGGAGAATGGAAATTGAGAAGAGAATGCGAAAAAAAATATCGTGAGTATTGATCTAATTTTCGAGCGAATTAAGAGGATAAGAACAGATAGAGGAGGAAGATGGAGAAAGGAAGGAGTAGGAGGAGAGGAAGAAAGGAAGGGAAGGAAGAGCAGGAGAAGAGGAAGAAGCGAAGGAAGGGTGAAAGGAGACTGAGAAGTGATGAAGGAGGAGTAGGAGGAGAGGAAGAAAGGAAGGGAAGGAAGAGTAGGAGGAGAGGAAGAAGCGAAGGGAAGGAAGAGTAGGAGGGAGGGAAGAAGTGAAGGGAAGGAAGAGTAGGAGGGGAGGAAGAAGCGAAGGGAAGGAAGAGGAGGAGGAGAAGTGAAGGGAAGGAGGAGTAGGAGGACAGGAAAATGGGAAGGGAAGGGAAGGGAAGGGAAGAAGAAGAAAATGAGATAATACACCCAAAACTATCGCTTTTTTTGTCTCTGACCATTTAAATAAAAGGAGGAGGAGGAGAGAGAGGAGAGAGATGGACAGGGAAGGAGAAAGGAGTAAGAAAAAGGAAGGGAGAGAGTAAGGGTAGAGAAGCGGAGGACGAGGAGAAGAAACAGGAATAAGAGGAGGAAGGGTAAAGGTGGTGGGGGAGTGACAAGGTCGGTGCATGCAGAAGATACCAGTCCGTGACCTGTGGTGTGTGACTCCTCCTCCTCTCCTCCTCCTCCTCCTCCTCACTCTCGTTGT